TGGAACAGCATCTAATGTCATGTAACAAAGGCCCTCACAAGATGGTGCAGCACCTTTCTGTCATCCAACAATAGCCACCACAAGATGGAACAGCACCTTCTGTCATCCAACAAAGGCCCTCACAAGATGATGCAGCACCTTCTGTCATCCAACAATAGCCACCACAAGATGGAACAGCACCTTATGTCATGTAACAAAGGCCCTCACAAGATGATGCAGCACCTTCTGTCATCCAACAATAGCCACCACAAGATGGTGCAACACCTTTCTTCTCATCTAAAATGGCTACCATCACGATATTATGCAACACCTTCATGTTGGATGACAGAAAGGTGTAATACAACACCTTCCTATCAAGCAATGTGATCACTGCCATAACATAATGATGCAAAACTTCCCTGCCATTGAACAAGGTAAAGATGACATTCATTGTTATTTAATTTCCTAGTATGTCATACACAAATCAACCTCACCTGTATAACAAGATGTCCATCTTGAACCAATGTATGCCCATGTAAATCAAACTTTGCTTCTTGAGAAAACACCAACAAGTTCTCAAAATGTTCATCTCTACAAAAACTTTTGCCCTGCATCATTTCCTCATCCTCCGGTAGCTTTGCTTCAAGGGAAAATCTATCTGCTTTTAGTGTCTCCAACACCTCATCTAAAGTAGTTTTCAAAGTGTTGATCCTTGCATACACTGGCTGAGCTGCAGCATATTGGATCTTTTCTTGCTCTTCTTTGGGTAGGAGAGCTTCAACACTTATTGCACAGTCTCTTATTCTGCTACGAGCCAATGCTGCTCGTAACTTTGTTCTATGTGAGATTAGAGCTTCTTGGATTTCTTGAATATCTGGCAGAACATCAGCTTCATTTATTACAGTTTTCTTTCTTTCATTTCCAAAGAAAAATCCATTTTGTTGATAGTCTATAAGTAAAACCATCACCCTGTGCTTGTGGTACGTTTCAAACTATAGCAAATAAAAAGGTAAAAATCTTAAAAACTTAAGCAATGCCAAATCCATTCCTTAATTAATTATTACTCCTTAACATTAAATTCTTTATATATTTTATCTTAGGAAATTCCCCTTTAGTTCCAGATAATATCCATATCCCACCCACGAAAAAATTGGAAATTCTGGAAGGGAGGGGTCAGAGAAAGAACAGAGTTTGTATAGAAGAAAATTGGAAGTTCCTGGGGGTAGTGGGGTCTTTTACAAATTCCCCCTGTGGTAGGGGTATGGATATTTTCTGGAACAACACAATATATTATTTTCATTGATTGCATTGAATGCTATAGAATAATTAAATTTCAATATGTTAAGTTCTCGTAAAAGACCATCTGGCTTTATCTTTATTATTTTCGTTTCTCATTTCCAAAAGCACTTAACATGAAGATGTTGTCCCATTACACAAAAGGGTAATTTTGGCAAAAACATTAGATAGAAAATATCCTCAAATTGCCATGTGATGTGTTACTACTCTATATAATACTTTATATAGTTAACATAAACAGGAAAGTGCAGCAAAGGAATTGCTCTTAAGAAAATGTAAGGAAAAGTAAGTATTTGGCATAATAAATTCTAATTTAAAACAAAAAAAAACATGGTTTTTACACACTAAAATTACATGTCTTAAACTATTTTTCACTTTTTTTCAAATAATATACAAAACTATTACAAAAATATATGTAGGTGTGTGTTAATAGTAAAATACAATAGATCATACCTTAAAATAACTTGAAAAGAAATAGCTGTCAAGTAAAACGTCATCAAGAACTTTCTCATCTAAGACACAACGACAAAGACAAATAGTTTGTCAAAATTATAGCAAAGAAGCAATCTAAAAAATACAAAAATAATATTTCTTCAAGAATATAAAACAAAATCAAACAAGAAATACTTCTGAAATTCCTAGAAAAAGGAAAATAATAGAAACGAAGGAAAGAATGAAGAAGAATGGGAAGAAAGAGAGAAAGAACAGAAAAAATAAAAAACTCATTAATTATAAACTTATTAATAGCAAACTTGTGTGGCCATAATATTATCATGTCAAAAACCTTTCACATTGTATTCCTTTTATCAATATAAACCTGCTTTTCTTCATAAAACACTATAGAAAAACGCTAACGAAATTAGTCTTTTGTCTAACAGACCCCAAGGGAAAATTGCGTTATTAATATGTTTTGAAATAAAGATCTTAGCGTTGGCGAACAAACACGCTGTGTTTATAAAATATTTGTACAAAACGTTCCAATATTTTCAAAAAAAGGGAAATTTGGACGATATTCAGTGGATGTTTATTGAAAAAATTGTTAGGGAACTATTAAACGAGTAAAGTTAAGTCAAAAGTCAGCTGTGTTTGTGTTACTTATCTCTTTTGTTATGCTAATCTGTAATTTTTCTTCTCGCACGAGTCTTGGAAATATCATAAAAAATACTTCACCCTTAAAGTGGCTATCAATTAAACCCACAAAAAAAGAAAAAACATTGCAAACTAATTCGACGAAAAAAGTTATTCTCAAATGAAATCTCACGAAGTACACAAGCTCAAGGATTAAAATTGCTGGATCGTCGAATACCGAAGTTTCTAAAGCAAATAACCGGCTAGATTTTAGAATTTAATGCAAGATTTGCTTTACTTAGTAAAACGAAACTATCACGGAAAAGAAAGTGTAGTTCTTTGACGAAATACAATTGCTTCCTGGTAGAAAATAATTTGAAAAGTGACGTATCCAGCTATCTTAATTAGGTTGATCAAAGTTAATAAAATTATGCTTCGAAGCTCTAAACTTTTAGTGTTAACTATTAAAAATCTTACATCTCTTCGCTCCAAAAGCCAAACTGTACGCTCTCCTTCTTTCCAGATCGTCTTCAAACACTGGTAGTTCAGATGAGGTGATCTGTCCCTTCAAATGCTGGAATATTTTGGAGGCATTTTCGTAGATTGCGTGGCTGAATGAATCTATTCTCTTTCTTGTTTTTTTGACGTTCACGTTGGTGTCGCTCTTAGTTTGCCGGCTTACCCCGCGATGAGAACTTTTCTCTAATTTTGCAGCAGATCTGGCATCAGCATGGCTGTGAGCCTTCTTTGGTTTGTTCCCGTTGTCTTGTTTCTTGTGCATTTTTTAATCTAAAGATGACTATACTAGAAAGTAAGACTAACTTCTAACTAGATATGGTTCCCGCGGACGGCTTCGATGTCACGTTCGTATCCTGGCAATAGAATATGACGTCAAAGAAGGAACTCATAAACTTGTTCTTTTTTTCGATTTTCGATAGTTCTTGCTGTGACGTCATTTTAAAAAGCTTTTAGAATCATTCATTGCAACTAAAATGCGCCAAAGCATAATATATATAATGCTTTTAATAGCAAAATTTGCTTTTGGAAATTTTCTCTCACTTTGTTTGTTTGTTCCTTACTTTCTTTGTTTTTTGTTTCTTTTAATAATTCTTTCTTCCCTTCTTTTCTTCTTTCCTTCTTGATATAAACGATGTCCCACCTGATCCCTTACAATGGGCTCCAGAGGTTCCATTTTATTTTCTCCTTATATTAGGGAAGATATGTCTTTTATTTGGGGTGGAAGGGGAGAGGAAGCAGTGCTGGGGAATTCGCATTAATTTAAAAAAAAAAAAAGTTGTGACCTTTCCCCGTCCATTAAGCAAGAAATTAATGATCCTCTTATCAAGTCAGCCTTCCCCTAGAGTGCAAACAATTAATCTGTGAAAAACTAATTACTAAATAGTACAAAATAGTGCTAATTAAACAATAGAAAACAATGGCATTTGCATGAAATTGTGCTATTTGGTATTACTAAAGTTTCACGGATTTACTGTGGTCACTCTAGCTTTCGTCAAAATAAGATTTCACTCTCTACAAAAGTTCAAAATTTTAGTGATGACCCTCCCGTCTGAAGCCCCAAACCTTCAGCAATCCCAAATAAATAACGTACCTTTCCTTATCTAATATCTCCTTGCGTCTTCTCGTCAAAACAGCAAACGACAAAGCGAGAATAATAGCAAATGGACCCCAGCGTAACCATCACTACCTAGCAGATATGTGAAACGCAGATCCTAAGCACACTTCATCTTTTGTATTTCGTTACACTACTACTGTCGCATAAGATGTGGCTATTATTCCAGGCAAAACATCTCACAATTTTACAAAAGTATTAATAAAACAATATAGGTTGCAAGGGAGTAGTAACGTTCCCTATATTTTTCCAAAGGACTGCCAGAAGATAAAAAATAAGTTTTTTCAGTTTTTATTTTCCTTCTACTTTTCGTGGACCTTCCCCTGCTGTCTAAATATTCCTTTTCAAAGCAGCAGTTGGTAGTAAAGCACAACACAACACAACACAACCAAACATCCTTTTCAATGCAATTTAAGCTTTTATTAATCTATAAGACAAATTATTACATTTTATAGAGTTGTTGGTCACTGTTCCATTAGGTTAAAACTCTTTCAACTTTGAAGCACTAGGTCATTTATAATTGTACTTTTAATTTTCACTCAATTCTCAACATCTAATATTAATATCATCACCCATGTTTTACCCTCTTATCTGTCACAATTTGACTAAATTATAATTCAATAATATTAATAAGTACTCTATCAGGAAAAATAGAATGTGAAAGGAAGGAAATAAAAAAGGCAAATGGAAAAATATTTAATGGGAAACCTTATAAATGAAAAAAAAATGAAAGATTATAGAAAGGAAAAATGGAAAATTTCTAAATAAATTAATTCAGTAACCAAAATTATAACTGAATAACGTTATTAAATAGATGAAAAAATATCTTCAACAAATTATTACTTTATGGTAATAAATGGCTATATAATTTCATTAAATTAAACCCTTTTCACACCCTGTATTAAAATCTACTCGTTCAGATGATGATGAAATACTGATCTATCAAGGGTACAAAGCCTTTTTTCAGCACAAAGTAAAATCGGTATATTTAGTGTTTAAAAGAATAAATTGTTATTCCAATAGATAACTAATGCAATATATTATTAGGCACAAGGTTCTTGAATGAAAGGGATTATTCAATGGGTTATTTAATGAGTAATATGATTTTTGTGATGCAGCAAGTAGGATAATTTAAGATTTGATAAATGTATAAGTAGTGCATTCAAGAACCTTGCCCCCAATATTGCAGAATACCCAATAAGCACAAGCACAAGTCTCTAGGACAAAGCATGTTGGGAAACCAAGTACTAACACTCTTTTGGCTCCTCTAAAATTCATCTGAGAATTTTCGTTTGACTTTTTCCATGGGAAAGTAAGTATTCTAACATACGGGGGGGGGGGTCATGGGAAAGTAAGTATTTCAACAGACGGGGTGGGGGGGGGGTTGTTTTGATAGTACTTTTGATTTCTATTTCATTTTTGCAGTACTTGGTTTCCCAGAGTGCTTTGCAAGCTTTGATGCACATTGGATACTATTTTTTGTAAATTTTTTGTTGACCTATCGCTTCAACTGTTGGTTTTTGGTGTCATCTGCACAAAACCAGTGTGCACAATACAGAACAAATATGTCTTCATTAATGTTATCAAAATAATGTTTTAAGTCATTGCAATAATACTACAGTTAGACTGTATAGCAATAAAAATAAAACTGATTTAAAACCCCTTATGAATTGTAGACACCTCTTATTGTTTATCACGTACAGTGTTCCAGCAAATAGAGGTAATATGGAAGAGACAATACATAATTAAAATGCTGATATGAGGAAGATATTGTTATGCTTTAGAGAACTCAAAGTATTGCAACCAAACATACTGGTGAGCAAAATAGATACAGTTTCCTACTTTTTAAAGAATTAATTTTGCAGAGCTCAACATGACTTTCAAGATAATATCACAAGAGCATTTCAAGCTTAGACTTGTACAAGTTAAGAGCTTCAACCAATTGTGTGTATTTGTCCAGATATTGGAGTTATCAAATACGTGCAACTGAATTTTCCATTGGAAAAGTGTTTTCTTAAACCAAATTGTTCACAGAACAAATTGGTTTACTAAATTTAAATACCCCAAAATTAATTCAAAGATTCTAAGTTTTTGTCAAAGTATTATTTTTTCTTCAGTCAATAGAATATAACCATAATAAATTTTGAATGAAATCCCCCAAAATGTTAGAAACAAAAATTTTGAACCTTGATTTATTCTCTCTTTCCTTGCATAATGATCTAACAAATAGGTTTTCTGAATTGGTATTAGGCAAGAAATAGGCTTAAGCCAAGTTAAGACAAGATAGTTAAGACATAGCTAAATTCAATGTCAGAGATGTGGCTAATAAGGAGTGTTAATTTATTGTGTTGTAAAATGATACCAATCGAGCAAAGAAGGAAACATCATTGCATAGGAAATAGATGATTTTGCAAAGACTGTAAAATGATCAAGGTGCCAAATCTTAAGTACAAAATAATACTATTTTTATCTTTTTAGAATTGATGCCAATAAAACATCTGTATAATTAAATGGTTTTCGTGAACAATATCTGGACACAACGCACAATTCATTGAGCTAATACTAGTACATTGTCATTGTGGGCCAAAATCTAATGATGGTAGATAGTTTTTTCAATTCATTCTATGAGCAAATTCTGTAAAAAATAATGACAGTCAAAGTTAAATGTCACAGAGAGCAATAATCAAGCTCAGCACAAAGTTCTTTAGATTACAGATGATGTTAATGATTGGCTCTTATACAAGTCTCTTATCTGTACAAATAGGTTTAAAGTCAGGGATGACAAAGCAGTATTTACTGAATAAGAAAGAGGGCTTTTGGGATTGTAATTTAAGTGAATTTACTGGTTAAGGTAGTTTTGAATGAGCAAAAGCATTTTGTTAGAAGAATTAAGCATGAATAAGTATGGTGCAGTAGTATGATTATGCTCTAAATAACTAGCCATTAGGGCACAAAGAAAATTCTCAAGATGTAAAACAACCAAATGTTGATTTTTAGTGCACAGCACAGGCATTCTATTCAAACAAGAAAGATTCTCTTCTGTTGCTCCGATTTTTACTCCAGAAAATAAACACCTCGAAACATCCACTTCATCTAGATAATTAATTTTGCTTGATACCAGAGTAGAAAGCTTTTGTGCATCAAAAACATTTAGGGAATCATATTAAGGGTCTTTCCAGGAAAATATAAATAAAATATAAATAAAATGTGCATTAAGTTTTGCTAATTGATTTGAAGTTTTGGTTCACTTTCAGCACCCCATAGTACTTGGAAATAGTTAAAGCCAATTAATCGAAAACAGTTACTAAGACTATGCCAATAGTGCCTCAACAACTAGAGCATCTCAGCCAATCACGTTACAGCTTTGAAGTTAATGTGAGTCATCCAGTTTTTATAAACATTTGAACTCTGTAGCTGCTATCTAAAATTTGGTTTTTTGCTCCTGCCAGTGAAAAGTATGAAAAGTACCGACTGATTAGTTCTGATTGACAGCAGCGAAAAACCAAATTTCAGCATGCAGCTTGCAACTAGCGAATTTGCATGTTTATGAAAATAGCATTAATACTGTAAGTAAAACATTTATTAACGTCATATACATGACCATTTAAGATGTCTTTAGATAAATGAATTGTTCCATATTGGTTAAAAATATGCACAAAGGCTTTCACCTGTGTTACTTGACTGACCGAACAAGAGAATGTTTCAAGGGTGCTTTGTAGGTGTTGGAGCAACAGTCTCAGAGAAGATGCTGACATGACGCCACAATAAGTGCATCCAAAGCATAATTAATACAATACCCCCTTTATTTTACACCTCGTGAATGATAGGATAAGTCCATTCACACTAAATATATAGAACTTTATGAAGAGTTATTAGAACAGAGTATGAAAAAATATTGTATTCTACAAAATATAATAATGTTGTACACATCTAATATATTTACCTATTAATATATTGAAATTTGGAGCACAATTTCTTGGCATTGTCAGCCTGCACTAGCTTCAATGTATAGTGTAGGCAACAGACTCAGGTCTATATAGACTGCTGGTAACAGTGACAGTGTTATCACAGACTCTATGTAATGATTATTTTACACTGAATGTATTCTGGTATCTCTGAAAGCCTTAAAACTAGATGCTGATACAATCTTTAAATTATTAACACTTAGCTGCGGGTCCGATTTTCTGTCCTTGGTAATATTGTCATTCTCATTTAATTTCCACATCATCGTAGCTGTTATGTTTCCATTAATCGCTGGTAGCCTTGACGAACGTATTCAACCACATCAACAATGGGACTGTGTAAGGTAACTGGTCCATATTTTCTATCAAGGTCCATGAAAAATTCTGAATAGAAAACAATGGCAAGTTGGCATTTTATACAATGTAGAACAGTACTGTGAAGTTGATTGTGGGACAAAAGTTTAATTCCACTGTGGGGAAACTGCTGCAGTGGTGATTGGTTCGCTATTGTCTGAGTCAGAACCAAGAATTGTCTTTGGATTACAAGAGATTTCATTTTCCTAAGAAATATACTTATAATTTTGTCCGACGCACAAAAATCTGCTAGTCAATAGCAAATTTCATATCATGCTTTTGGGGAAAATAAAAAATATTTTGTAAAATTAGATACTTTTGGTTGAGTGGTCTCTAATGGCCAAACTCTATATGATAAAAAAACAGCAACCATTTTTTATTAAATTAATAGATTGATATGTTTACCTTTATGGTCAACAAAGATCTGTTGTGACTGTTCCCATGCATCATAGCCATACAGCATATGATTTGTGAATCCCAAATGCTGATACGTCATGGTTTGAACCTTCTGTGGAATGGTAGCATTGACAGGAGATGTCATGCATGACACCTTGTTGGTCCTAGACGGGGTGGTCATTGCCTCGTTGCTGCTTGCACTGCCAACAGATCCTACACTTCCTATGCTGCCAGATGGAGAAGGTGTTGGAGACATTGGGGATGGAGTTCCAGTTCTACAAAATAAAATAATTATTTTCAGCTCAATGTGTAGTTCCAAAAATTATCCATACCCCCCTCACGGAGGAATTTTTTAAGACATCCCCCTACCCCCCAGAAATCCCAATTTTCTTCGATACAAACTCTGTAATATTGTTCTTTCTCTGACCCCCCTACTCTTCGGAAATTCCAAATTCCTCTGTGGGGTGGGTATGGATGATTTCTGGAACTACACAATGTGCATGCCAGATATTTCTTGTGATATGATACACGAAATGGTAAAATAAATTTATCTTACTTCATGTAAATGGACAGACTAACAGACAGCATACAAACTGTTTCTTCTTAAATATTAAGACATGGATGTCAGACTAGATGTACTTACTTTGGATTAGAGACATTATAAGGTGAAGGTGCTTGGCTCATCTTCACTTGTCCCTTAAAATGTTCCAACAAACTCTTGGAAGCCTTCAACATACTATCTTTCCTTAACTTGAAGAGCCTCATGTATAGAAGAGCTTGTAACCTCAAACTAATAAAAACACATTGATAATGATTAATGACTGTATTGAGGTTTGTGCATAAATAAGAATACAAGTAGGCAAGACTAGAAGGAAACTCACCATAAACCAAAGAATCTCTTATCTCCATTTTTTTCTGTATGAGAACGAGTTGCAGAAAGACGCATGGCATATCTAGAGTCAAATACAAGACATTGTTGATCAGACACGAATCATAATACCGGGGGCAGTGTGTGTGTGTACTATGCTGTGTGCTGAAGGTAGAATGGAAATAATAGACATGAGGATGCACGTTTTACTTACTTTAACATTTCTATTGTTTCCACATACATCTGATATGCAGATTGTGATTCAGACTCATTATTTTGCTGTAAAAAGAATACAAAATGTTACAAAATGTTGTAAACTAATTTACATTGATTTAAGGTTGGTAGATGAACATATGGATGGGTGGATGGATGGATGGATGGATGGATGGATGGATGGATGGATGG